AGTTTTTAGGGAAATAGATATCAGTCTCGGAACGGTTAATGAAACCAAGTTGTCAATTTGCGCCAATTTATATATTGCCACCATATCAATATACCAGAGATGATGAAAAAGAGCAAGACGATTCGATTAAAGATTGCAGAATTCGGATATTATTAATGTACTAAACTATGAGAATTTTCATCTTTGTAATAAAATGGATTCCTTGATTGCGTTTAATTATATTATTTAAAAAATTTTAAAATAGTTTGTATCAAATAACGCTTTGAAAAATTTGTTGATCTGAATACATAATATGATCCTTTTGCAGTGTGACTAAGAGGATAGGGTTGATGGCTCTGGTCAGTTTGATATCTTGAATTTTAAAAATCTTTATTTGCCACCATTCCATTATTCATTTGATATAATTTAAGACAAAAAATCTTTACAACTATATTTCTTTGAGATATTCTTTTTCTGTTTGAACAATACATTATATAAGTCTCTCAAGAATTTCTATATGTATACCTATTATTACATTATTAATAATCCTTGTTGTATAATATGTAGTACCCACTCATCATATGCTCCTTTCCCTCTCCACTTGTAATATATTGTAAATCATACATAAATAAATAAATACAATTTTAAAATTTTGGATAACATATTCATGTTTCTGATGACAGAGTTTGTTCTTGATCTATCAGTTATATCACCATCAATAACATTTCCATTTTCAGTATTTGTTTCTTTAGTACTATTATTATGCGCTTGAGATTTATCGTCAAAAATGAGAATCCTTTGTTCATTATTATTAGCCAAATTATTTGATTTATTGGCCAACATTTTTAAAGACACATCTACTATAGAATTATCACGTGAATGAAACCGGAATTTCTTCGGATACTGGTGTCTCTTTTCTCTCATTTTCTTCTTTTTCTTTCTGCTTCTTTTCTTTTTCTTCTTCTATTGAAAATAAGTTTTATCTTCGTCATTTTCATTATGGATAGTAAGAGAGAGCTCATCAACAGAATTGCTATGTTCAATTGAAAAGGAGTTTTCTTTATCTTCTTGTGTGCTATTATTATTAATATCATTTTTTTGCAATTCTGCTGTCTCTTCCGGTTCCCCTCCCTTTTTCTCTTCCTCTTTTTTCCAATTAGTTTCTGCTAATCCTTTTTCTTCTAGTTCTTTTTTCCTCGTGTTCTATTCATTATATTTATCTATCGTTAACTAAAAATTTAAAAACGACGAACAAATCACATTGATAATACCCGTACCGCATATTCAATTGCTTTCATCATTTTCGCCTTCAATTTTTAGTCATCCAAGTTGTACAAGCATTGGTTAAAGAAGGATGTAAGCTTTGGTATCGGTTGATAAGGTGACGATTTATTCGACGAGAACGTTTTGATTTCTGATATGAATAACAATCATTTAAGTTTTGTTGATGAAGAAAAACAAATAATACTAAAGGATTACCTCCTTATCACAAGATTTTAGTAATGCTTCATACTTTTTGAATGAAATGCGTCTTAAAACTACGTGACGTTTGCATTTCCAAATATAGAGACAAACCTTGTTGATGTGTCCGTCATGCATTACTTCACCAAAATTTATCACTGGTTTTAGTGTCTATTTGTATGTTATAATATACATAAATGTTATCTTCAAAATCCACGTACATAAAGCAAGGCACATTGTATCCAGGAAGGAAAAAAAACTACCGAGATTCTCTCATCTAATAAAAATCAAAACAAAAAACATAAACTAGCGGCAAAAGCACAAACTCTCAAATTCAAAATTTACTACGTTGAATTCATGATCAATCACATACGTGCTTCCGTTCCACGCGCATGTAATAAACACGTCATCACGTCGTTCGATATTAAGGCAATTTAAAAATTAAAATAAGAGTTTTATTATAATAAAATTTAATATATGAGAATAAAATTTATTATTTGCGTTAATTATCATCAATTTATAAATTATTATATAGCAATATAATTAAAAAGGAAATATTACTTTTTCTTAAAATACTCTGATCTTTATAAAAAATTGAAATATACAGAAATATTATATTATTCTTAATAAGCTATTCTATTTCATAAAAATAATGCATATTTGATTATAAAATACCATAAGATAATAAGAAATAAATTAAATTTAAAATGATTACTATTATCAATCATGAAGAAATTATTAATAGTTCAACAGATATTAGAAGAGATATGATTAGATACAAGAAAATAACAAATAGCACTTTACTTGTTTATTAAGAAGGAAATTATAGATCTGTAAGTAGATCTTATATCTCATCTATTATTATTATTAAATCAAAAAATATTAGAGTACTTTAGCATATAAATAGTAATAGTTTATGTAATACTAAAAAAATAATCATAACAAGAATAGTTATAATAAAAGAGATAATTATGATTAATGATAATAATGATGATAAGAAAGAGAAGAATAAAGAAAGTAATTAATTTAATCTTAAAAATAATAAATTAATTCAGAGAAAATTAATCTAATAAAAAAAGAATAATCTTTCTTTACATCAAGAAATTTTTTGGGGAGATATTCATTGAGAATCATCATCATATCTGTAAAAATTGATAAATATCTCTCTGAGATATTGATATTAATTGATGATTCTGATGATTTTTGATAAATATCCATATTAATAATAATCAATCATTGTTAATACATTATTTATTGATATATAATAATATATTGATCATTATCGCAATATATTATTT